TTGCAAATATTCGTTGAGGCATTTTGTAACTTGACCTTCCTCCAAAAGTATCAAATCAATCATGGCCACAAAGTTATGTTCAATTGTGCACAAAATCAACAACAGACATCAACAGGAAAAGTCACAAAATTAACCCTTCAAGTCACCAAAGTCGGACAGAAACAGAATTTAATAGGCTGTGCACAGCTCCCCGCTGCAACAATCCGTCTCAACAGAGAGTGGGGGTGGAGGGGGGGTTAACCCACCCTGGGTTGACCTGGGAACCAACCCCACCCTGGATCCTGTTCCTTGTATCTCCTCTCCCAACCAAGATCAGGGGTGCCTCCCTGCTCGGAATCAACCCTCTGCTCAACAGCTGCAGAGCCAAATAATCTGTAAATTTTCAGAAGAATGGGAGCAAGGACTAGACTTAGTTGTGACTCTTGGTGCCAGTTGAGGAGAAGCCCAAAGCTAATTTGACTCAATGGGATATAGAGGCATGTAACACAGAGGCAGGAGGCAAGCTTCCTCAACCTCTGCCCTCCAGATGTTTTTGGCATACATCTCCCATGATCCCTAGCTACCAGGACCAGTGGTCAGGGATGATGGGAACTGTAGTCTCAAAACATCTGGAGGGCCAAGGTTGAGGAAGCCTGATCTAGCATTTGCCAAACAAGCAGCATAACTAGAAAAAAGAAAAAAGCACAGAACAGACAAGAACAAGTTGATACTTTAACATCCCTTCCCCAAAGTTCTATAGTGGGAAAGTTCAAGATATGGTCCCTTCAGTTAGATGCTAGGTCACTAAAAAGCATTCCCTCCCTTCACTCTTGTGTTTTCCTTATAAAATAAGATTGAAAAAAATGTTTCGGTTTTTCAGACTCACGATACACAGCATTTTTAAAACATACAAATCTCTGCAGCACTTTGCCTCAAGATCCCACTTCAGCTCAGATAAACCCCAAATCTTTCCTAAGTGGCCCTGCTTCAGTTCTTGATTCGGGATTTGTACAAATATTTTGCATATACAACTATACAGATCCAGATATTTATATATACATCTATATACAAACACAAAAACTGAATAATGTGTAACAATGCAAGCAGAATAAAGTAGGGTTTAGGCTTAGTGAAGGGAGCTCCAATCCTAATCCCAGTTACTTGGATTAAACCCCATTGAATTCAATAGGATTTAGGTCTGCATAAAGGTAAAGGTAAAGGGACCCCTGCATAGACATGGTTAAAATTGTGCTGTTATTTATTTTTTTATATTTAGAACTCATCTAACACAAAAGAATTGTTCAGGTGGGAAAACAAATGCCTCTACACTGTCAGCAAAACTAAATAAAGTTTAATATAATTTAAAATCCATGATATTTATTCCCTGATTTAACCCTGGCCAAACAAGCAGGTTTCTCTAGCTTGGATTTTGGTGGCCCCAGAATAGGAGGAGGTTCCATAACTGGGGACCAGCCACCCAAAACATATTACTTATGACCTCATGCTTGAATCTGCTTCGCAGATAATAGTATTAAGGTGAAGGGTTTGATGGATCAGGTATTATTACACAAACGGGAACAAGGAAAATCTCCGGGCTCTTCGGTGATTATTATTACAACTATTCAAATTATTATTATTATTACTCAAATCCCATTATGAAAAATTTCAGGCTTTCCCCATATATACAGTACATAGCAAAGAGAATTTCCCAGGTTTCATAAAGCTGAAGCCTAGGACACATTTGGCCATCAAACAGTACTTTATAAATTACAAATTTACAATCAGCTTATAATTGCGCTGTATTCATGGCTGCTGTCTACTGAACTAATATAAGATAAGATACTTTGCCCTCTTTACGCAATAAATAGTTTGTTAGTGTTAATAAACTATACCGTGTATGCGGTTTTGTTGCCAACTGAGAGACAGTAATATAGAACAATAATAATAAATATAGCCTTGGCACCTCATAAACTGCAGACAAGTAAGAGAGAAACATGGAAACCCAAATATCAGGATACTTTTAAAAGCAAATTTTTGCAATATGAAATCGCTTTTTTTAAAAAAGGTCTTAAAATAAAGGCTACGGCAACAAAACAAAATGCATTTGGCCTTTCTGAGTTTTCTGCAGACCCCTCTGGAATAATAAATTAAGAGAACAATAAAAATAACGCTTACAGAGCAATTCCTTGTTTTAGTCGGCCTTTGTTCTAAACTTGTGGAGATGCGCAGTTATGACAAGCACTGGGGCAATTAAAAAAGCAACTTCAACTATAGCGGGAAGATCAATACCCTGAATCTTTTTAAGAAGAGGATTAATTCATTGCTTGCCACAACCCAGAGCACCTCTTAAAACATTTTATGAGAGAATTCCTGTAAATTAAACCTAACTATTCAATGATTGTTCTGTTGGCAATGCCAGAAGTGCTAAGGGCCTTGGAAAGAGGAAAAACACAACTCTGTGAGTAGTTTATAATGAAATAAAGTTCTTTTTCTCTCTCTTTTTTTTGCTTTCCCCACCCTCCCTCCACAGCTTCCTATGGATAATATGCAATAATACATGTAATGAGCTCCCTAAAACAATTAGTAGCAATCTCCAGCGACCTGCTAATCTGAATATAATGTTTTTTTACCAACCACTGCATGCTTTCACACCCACGTCACGTAGAGGGGGAAGAGGGTTACAAAATGTAATTTAGTATTCTGCCTCATATTTCATCAAGTCCCTTACCAGCTGCTTGATATATTATCAAGACGAGCGCAAGCACATTCTCCCCCCTTGACAGGGGCACCCCAAAGAATATAAGCAAATTGTAACTCTTTCCTTACATCACCACTAGGACCTACGACAATGGCAATGTTGACCATATTTTCGCTTTAACAATGGCTGACGTATTGTGGATATACAACAGAACCTAGGCCAATGGTTAAATTGCTTTCAATACAGGCAATATCTCATCCCACCACTCAAATAAATAACAAGCAGGCCAGCTGGAGGTGAGGAATTTTGTAGCTGAAAGTATTATAATCGAAATAAATTGCAAATGCTTCCAGAGTCAGTTTAGATCAGGGTGGTCCAACACGTGGCCCTTGAGACCTTTTTTAGTGGCCCTTGGCAACATTTGATGCCCTCATGCTGGGTAAGCGAGCTGCTGGGCTTTGGGAATGAGGCGTGAGCAGTAACAATGATGATGAATGCAAGCTTTAAAACACAAGTCAATGCCAGGTACAAAGATAACCTACAAAGCTTTGAATAACTCTTCTGTTGGGCATTTGGTTGTGGAATGAGGCGTTGCATTGGAGAAGGGAAATAGTCTCAAACTGGGCACTGACAGCTCAAAACTGGTAAGGTTTTTTTCTCCAAGGGGAAAAGACATGGGGCTCTCATATCAATTCCCTATAGGTGAAAAAACAGCTTGAGGTGGGAAATTTTAAGTGGAAAGGGGCCATTTTCTTCAGCTCATACACAGCACACCCCAGGTTGCTTTGGGCTGAAGTAGAGTATCCAGAACTCTGATATTCATGTGGTTTAAGCCCAAGTGCGTCAATGAATACAACAAATTGTACAGTTTTATGCTGAATATAACTAAGGTATAAATAGTGAAGGAACATATGAAAATGCAGATTTCTGCTCTGCTACCAAGTTAGGCAACTGCTTCTTCCTTGCAGTGCCCTGCATTAGGTTAACGATTTGCCAGTTTCTGCTAATTCTTAGTACTCAATAGTGACAAGCTCTTGTGAAACTGAGGCAGTGAAAAATATTGGAGAAAAACATTCCATATTACAAACCAAGCCTTGCACTTGATTTAAAATTTAAAGTGGGAAATGTATTTGTAAGGAAGTTTTAATGGATACAACTAACGAGAGTTGCATTAGGGCAGCACAAGTTAGCCCATTACACACAGCTTGCAAACCATGCATCCAGAGGCACATAAATAAAAAGGTTTGGAATGGAGAACATGCCTTTATTGAGTGCCAATTTGCATTCAGTGGTTCAGTTCAGCTCTCTGGTCTAATGCAGAGTTTCCCAAACTTGGGTCTCCAGCTGTTCTCATCATCCCTAACCACTGTTTCTGCTAGCTAGGGATGGCAGGGGGTTGTGGTCCAAAAACAAATGGAGATCCAAGTTTGGGGAAACCCTCGTCTAAAGCAATCTATTCAAGGGATTATATAAATAAGTAAAATGAGTTTTAGACTTAAGCTTCATACTGTTTCAAGCACCGTGGGGCAGGGTTGACATGCACAGGGCTACCTTGTTCCAACTATAAGAAGCCCCAAACCAGGGACAACACTTGCCTAGAAAGGGGTGAGGAGACTTGGTTCAACATCTTGAATTAGTGGCAGCCAGTCTGGTGCCCTCTAGATACCCCAATCCCTGACTACTGGCCCTGATTTTTGAGTCCACCATGTTGAGAGCACTATATTGCCTTCAGCCAACTGAAACCTACACTGTAGAACAGAAATTTAGTATCTATCATCTAATCAATCACAAATACTTTTAAAAGTTACAGCTAATGAAGTTGTTGCCCATTTGAAAACCCAGTTTTACATGTTTGCTTCTTTACTGCTGGGCTCAGGAGGCAAATGTCTTTACTCTGTTTCAGATATAGGACATACAGAAATCATGTCACGTTCAACACTCAAAACAAAAACATCATGAAACGTGTTACAAAATGTCCTATTCTGAACATTTAGAAGAGATTGCTTGATACACAAGAGCTCAAATGTTACAGGTGGAAAACTCGGTGTCCAAACAGTTAGCACCCAGATTTATAAATATATTGGACACACTTAAAACACGCCTGTTCATTTGTAGTGTACAGCAGCAAATCGATACACATTTGCATTGCAAACCATTATACACAATGAAGAAATAGAATATTTGCCAATACTTTCCCACTTGTTTTTTTTTTTATAGCTGCTATCAAATCTCACATAGAACTTACTATATTATATAAAGAATGAAAATCAAAGCATGACCTGGGATTATACACTGCTGCTTTTATTACTATGATTATTCCTACCTTTTCTGGAGGCGGAGGAGGGTTAAATCTCTTTGCACAGACTAAAAACACATCAGGCTCTGGCTTGCCAGCCTTCACTTCAGGGTCATCTCCCAACACAATATGATGAAATAAATTAAAGAAGTCTTTGTGTCGACTTGTTTTCATTTCAAATGTCACCCGAGATGAGCTGGTGGCAACAGCTATGGGTATGTTGTGTTGATGTAGATGGCGGATTAGTTTTTCAACACCTGTGAAACAGAAAAATATATATATGAAAGTGTTAAAATACACTTGTTTGAGAAAAACAGAGGAGCTAGATTTACTGGAGTTGTTCACCCCACCTTCTGAACTTGATTTAGTTAGTTCTCTTTCCTGCCTTCATCAAAAGACTAATGGTTGATAATTTGGGTGTTTGTACCTTGTGTGGGATGGTTTTCGTTGCTGCCTCCTGTATAACTCTGTATAACTCTTGAGAGTCCCATGGATTGCAAGAAGATCAAACCTATCCATTCTGAAGGAAATCAGCCCTGAGTGCTCACTGGAAGGACAGATCCTGAAGCTGAGGCTCCAGTACTTTGGCCACCTCATGAGAAGAGAAGACTCCCTGGAAAAGACCCTGATGTTGGGAAAGATGGAGGGTACAAGGAGAAGGGGACAACAGAGGACGAGATGGTTGGATAGTGTTCTCGAAGCTACTAACATGTGTTTGACCAAACTGTGGGAGGCAGTGGAAGACAGGAGTGCTTGGCGTGCTCTGGTCCATGGGGTCACAAAGAGTTGGACACAACTAAACGACAACAACCTTGTGTGGATTTTAACTGTGTGAGCGGGAACTTGTGGCTGCACCTTCTGTCACTGACATTACATCCTCACTGGCTGTACCACCCTTCACCCATCTATTTTAGTCCTTGTCCATAGAAGTTCCATCTCTCTAGTCTTGCATAGGCTTTAAAAAATAATTCTGTAGTCCCCAGGGCTGCTAGTGGTGGAAAAATGCCCCCTCCACAGAAAGAATCCTGTTGCCCTAACAGGTCCTTGGTGGTGGGCTGCATTTCTCATACATCAGTTAATCCCTAAGTCAATGGAGAGTCTGTCTCAATAAACTTGCACAGGGGGAGGGAGTTTGTAGCCCACAAATTGGTGGAGCAAATGCCCCCAAGGAACTTTAAAGCAACAGAAACCTTCATCCCTACAAGAAACCTTCATCCCTACAAGCTGATTTAAGCTTCTGTTTAGCAAGTAGAAATACACAGTACAAATGAAATGAATCTGAACTTTTTAAAAAAGGTGATGGATCTTTTTATGAAAAAAAGAAATAGCAAAAACAATTTTGAATATGAAACAGGAAAGTAAAAAAGGAAAGTTTTCTACTGCACATCCCTGCAGGTGTATAGAAACCACGAAGTGCATCATACTACATAAAATCAAGATAGTATGCAGAGAAGACATCTGTAGACTAAGAGGAACTGTGTTGTAATACATGAACTTCTGGCCAAACAAAAACAAATAAAAGGAAGGGATGTAATGCATATTTAGTAGGTCTGATGTAGTTAATAAACTGAAAGGATCAAAATATATAAACCTCAAGAACTTTAAACAATAATTAGTCACATGCCAAATTTAGAACTCTGAACACAGATGTATTTTTAAAAAAAATTCCTGACAGAATTGAAGTATTTCTCATGGGACAATAGAAGCTTTCAGAAAGGAATAATTCAGCATTTTCCATTTGACAGCTCTGAAAAATACATAAAATAACTCAAATTAAACTTTTTCTTGTGGCTTTCTTTTTCCCCTGGTGCTTCTGCTCTTTCTAGTCTGCTAAAAACTCAAGTAGCCGCAATTATTTTGGTGAGAACGATTCTCTTATTTACATATTTTGCTTTCCACAATGTATTTGCATTTATCCTCTGATATTAAGGATACATATGGGGCTCCTCAATTCAGTGGGGCTTTCTTTTGATTTGGAATGCACAGCATTACAGTGCAAAGCGTGCACAAAAAATGTGTGTTCATTTATGTATTATTTCCATATACAGACAGCTTGCTACCTGAAAATCTTGAAGCATTTCACAATAGATAAAATACATATATAAACACAGTACGTAGAATAAAAACCGTGTCAAATTATTCACATAAAAACTGAATTATAACCGTATACTTAAACACAGTATCACTATAAGGTCAAAGAGCTTTACACAGCAACAAAATGTAAAATTCCAACAAACCCACTTTTCGCACAACCACTCACGCAATCTCATTCACCACTACTTTCGCACAACCATTACAATCACTCACTGCTTCGTACATTATGTCTGTTAACCAGCCAGCACATTCATATACCACTTGTACTCAACAATATGACATACAAATTTATTGAAATGCTAGTATTATAAGCTTTTTTCTAGCAGCTGGTCTGTCCTTGTTTTTAATGTTGCAATGCATATCAGTATGCTTTCTGGGGCCCTCCAAAACAGCAAGATAAGTTTAAATCCAATTGCATGTCTTGACAGTAGAAAATCCAGGTCCCTTTTGTTTAAAAAGGAGGAGGAGAATGTTTAGGAGGCATTTCACCCTCTCTGCAGACTATAATTAATGCAGTGACACTTTACAGAGGTCATTAAACTTCCTTGCCAACCGTTATTTTGAAAGAAAAAAGCAATAGTTTAGCAAATGTTTACCAGTGTTTCCACCTGGGACTTTGCAAACCCAGGTGAAAGGATAAAAGAATTACTACATAAAGCCTCAGGATACATACATGAAAAATGAAGCAGTCTGTACATCACTTAGAATTTATTTAAACACTTTTAAACCTTTCCACCTTTTTTCTTGTCAAGCGGGTCTGTGTTAAACATTTAAGGTATTTTCAAATTCTGTGGTATCTGTGAAGCTGTTGGGGATAAAACATAACTGATTAATGCCAGGGTGGGTGGATTTAAATCATGCCCTTTTAAATAAATGATTCCAGTCAAGTTTCCCACAATATTATTTTTCAACCAAGTATGGATACTAATTAGCTCCTGTAGCAATTTTAGAATATTGGTATGCAACTAAATATACCCTGTATACTACCTAGGAACATAATGCAGAACTTTAATCATACGGCCCCATGTGCCTTTTGCACTATCTGGGTAGTTGGGGGCAGCTGAATTCTGAAATGCGTGGATTTCTGAGCAAATCCAGCAGCACGCAAGTGCCAAGAGATTTCTAGAAAGGGCTTGTAGTTATTGGGCATAACATGAGATCAACAATCAATAGCTGCCTTGTTTGCTTAGCAGTCACAAATAATCAAAACTGATTATATTGCAGACCTCATCTATTTACATGGATCTTCCAGGTTTCTCTTTCATTTTCTTAAAAAACCTGGTTTTGACCAACTTTCTTTTATAATGTGTCAATGATTCAAAATAGACTTCAACATGTTTCCATTAAATTTAAATTTCTCTGCAGGGGGTGGGTGGGTTTGGGGACGGACACAGTGGGTTTTTTAAATAAGGAAAGCAGGTTTTGTTTTGCTTTTACAAAAGCAATTCTGATTTCCAGTGCCAGATTTATGTATAAGCTAAACACGCTATAGCTTAGCTCTTGGGTGCCCCCCCATTTTTTTAATATTAATATACTTCTTAATTGTATTTCAGTTCAACATTTACTTTGATAAAATACATATTTTGTTATGTGCAAATGACATTTATATACCTATAAGGTCCATAAGGGACGCGGGTGGCGCTGTGGGTTAAACCACAGAGCCTAGGAGTTGCCGATCAGAAGGTCGGCAGTTCGAATCCCCGCGACGGGGTGGGCTCCCGTTGCTTGGTCCCTGCTCCTGCCAACCTAGCAGTTCAAAAGCACGTCAAAGTGCAAGTAGATAAAGGAGGGAAGGTAAACGGCGTTTCTGTGTGCTGCTCTGGTTTGCCAGAAGCGGCTTAGTCATGCTGGCCACATGACCCGGAAGCTGTACGCCGGCTCCCTCGGCCAATAAAGCGAGATGAGCGCCGCAACGACTGGACCTAATGGTCAGGGTTCCCTTTACCTTTAAGGTCCATAAATTACCATATAGCATATATTCAACACAAAAAACAGTGACAATTTGCTGTTGACAAAGGACAGCTGGACACATAAAAGGCCCCATTACCTTCAGTAGCTTAAGGCCTCATCAAACCTAAATCCGGCCCTGCTGATTTCTGATTGACATGACCTAAGAGAATAGCTTGCTTTATACTTTATCAGTTTGGAGCATCAGTGGAAGTGGCTATGAAACTAGCATCGCATCCCACACTATAACTAGAAGGGGTGGGCACCTCAGATTTTAGGATCACAAATGCAGTACCTCAGACTTCTGTTATTAGCCCTTTGGACTCTTCCCAGACAATACCCCATCTCCTTAGAGAACTTCACTGGCATTGCTCCATTCTTCTGCCTGGCTAGAATGTGTCCCTGAGCTATGATAATGTCCTTGAGCTATGATAATGCCTCTTCTTTAAAGGGATATTGTTTGCATAAGGGCCTGGTTGGGGGATCTCCAAGTTTCAGTGAAAAACAAAGTAGATTGGGCACACCTTTAAAGGCCATATTCTGAAAGATCTACAACAATTTCTACAAGCTGATGTTATGTTAGCAATACTAGTTTACACATATTTTCCCTTTCTTACATCTCACATTTACACCTTTGAATTGCATGGAGCATAAGATGTGTACAAGTCATCTATTTTCAGTCCACCAGATGACCCCAAATCCTGCCACTATAGCATTAACATTTGATGCTTAATTTTTCTAATGCTCAGATTCTCCCAGCTACAGCAAACATCACTATGAAACTTTGCTTACAGGCATATTCAGCATTGCACTGACTTTGGTAGAGGGCCGATTTTTTCAGCTAGAGAAACAGAAGTGGAGATAATATTGAGAGGAGTAATTTGTTTCCAACACTTAAAAACACACCATTTACTAGCTTTACTTATGATTCAACTGGGCTGAGCAAGCAGTCCTTAAAGGGTATTAAATCCTTTAGCATATTAAAAGCAAATCTCTGACACAATTTTTGACCAGACATTAAGATAATGTGGCACCAGGCGCTGTGCAGTTGGCGCTGACCCATGACAGGGCCTTTTCGGTGGTGGCTGCATGCGCTCCCTAGTGATGTGCATATGTCTCCAACATTATCAATTTCAGGACAAATACTCAGGCATTTGGTGGCTGAATAATGCTGTTACTGGCAACACTGTATGAAAGGATTTTAAATCTGTTAACTGTTTTAGTAAGTTTTAAAAAAACAAAAACATGGATGTGTTTGCTGCCCTGGGCTCCTTTGGAAAGGAAGGATATAAATTCAATAACAATACCTATATAGGAAGGCTTATACAAAATATGGGGACGCGGGTGGCGCTGTGAGTTAAACCACAGAGCCTAGGACTTGCTGATCAGAAGGTCGGCGGCTCGAATCCCCACGACAGGGTGAGCTTCCGTTGCTCAGTCCCTGCTCCTGCCAACCTAGCAGTTCAAAAGCACGTCAAAGTGCAAGTAGATAAATAGGTACCTCTCTGGCAGGAAGGTAAACGGTGTTTCTGTGCGCTGCTCTGGTTCGCCCGAAGCGGCTTAGTCATGCTGGCCACATGACCCGGAAGCTGTACGCCGGCTCCCTCGGCCAATAAAGCAAGATGAGCGCCACAACCCCAGAGTTGGCCACGACTGGACCTAATGGTCAGGGGTCCCTTTACCTTTTTATACAAAATATGGGAACATTGAACTTCCATCATGTTCTTATTTGTTGACCAATCAGACTTACTTTCTCTTTCTGTCTCTGGCAGAATCCGAGATCAAGGAGAAGAGCAGGTGGAAGAGGACTGGAAGAAGTTTAAATTTTATCTACAAAAATACTGTAAAATTTATGAATGCTGAGGGCTCTGAAAATGAAATGAAGGGGTTTCTAGCGATTAAGATAAATAGATTATAAAGGGAGGGATAAAGGTTTAAAATGAATAATTAATGATCTTGCTGAACTAATTTTTAAAGTAGAATACAAGAAGGGAAGGCGGGTGGAAGTAAAGAGAATAAGGTTTTGAAAGTTATCAATATGAGAGTGTTCTTTTTATGCTAAATTTTTCCCCCCTGTATTTTTCTTTTTTCTGTTTTTTCTGTTTGGATTTTCGATGTTTCTTGTCTGCTTTTTGTGATTTTTGTTTATTTTTGTTTGGTTGTTAACTTTTTGGAAAATTCTAATAAAATATTATTATAAAAAAAAATACTTTCTCTTTCTGTCTCTGTCTCTCTGCATTTCCTATCAGATAGGGCTGCTAGGCTAAAATTAGCAATCGAGAATATCGTGTAAGAGGCACTTAGTCATTTTCTGCTGCTTAAGACAGATGATTAAAAACTGTGTCTTGGTGGTGCAATAGCTCCCAGGGATTTAGACATCAGTATAACAGAAAATGTAAAAACTGTAGAATCTGTTATGTTTTGGTCTTAAATAGAAACAGATGTACCAGAGATGGATTCTCAACAGGAACACAATCAATTATCTATTTCTTCTGTTTCTTTTAAAGTAAAAAATAAAAAGTCTTCATCTACAACAATTATATGCAAATCCCTAGAACTGCAGGCTCAAAGCAGAGAGCCACCATTTTTAAATGTGTGACAAAGTAGCACAAAGCAGTTCTTGGAAAAATAATTAAAACATCCATTTGGAAAGTTACTCACATTTCAACAAGCAATATAAATTAAAGCATTATTCCCAGTGGAAAATCCAGTAAGCAGCAATTGTCTTTTTAACTAGCTTAGGAAGTAGAACACAATAAACAGCAGCAACAGAAAACATGGAAATGATGGCAGTATTGTGGTATAGCTCTCTGCTATATCCCGTAGTTTGCCAAACACCACTTTATAGGACAATTACAGGTTCAAGCTGGGGGGGGGGGCACATAGGTTCCCATCATTTTGGAGAGAGGCAGACTAGTAGGTGCTGAGTTGCACATTGGTTTTCCATCACCAAGGTAAAATAAGCTTAAAACTATTTGGAATGTGCAATGGCCTTAAATAACCATTCCAGAAATTCTGTATTTTCTGCTATTATTATCGTCGTCGTCATCATCATCATCACAAACTCCCATTAAAAAGTCAAATATAGGGATATTATTGCATATTGTCTTTTTTGCATCTTTCAAAAAGCATTACTTTATTATGCATGACTCTTTAAGTGAAGGCAAGCAATGGCCATAGCACTGGCTTTCAGATTCTGGCATGTAGAAACTTTGCATAAATGGGGAATTAAGAAGAATAAATGCTCCATACTGTTGATTTCCCAATTCTTCTGTAATGAAGAGTGGCTCTTGGATATGACAAGAGTTAATTATTTGTATGTAGGGGTCAATCCACAGACAGGCTGTATGTGATGATTATGCATGTGAGTGCATGGCTGAATGGGGAAACATCTGAGTGAAACAAATGCAGCCATTTTCATGAACTGGAAAACATGAAGAAAGGGAGAACAGAAGCAGCTCCCATTCCATCAACTTTCTTAACATACACTTAATATATCTGCATTCATTTTATATATAAATTGATTTTTTTATGAAAGGGCAATAGTTTATTTGCTTAATATAGCTATTCAGCCCCTAATTAATGCACGGTGTGGATTCAAAGGTCTAGAAACTTGAGTATGGCTGTGCATACTAGCTGTGCATTCTTTTTACTCACTACTGATGCCTTCCTTCTTCCAAGTCCATTGGCATAAGCAGAGAGCTTGTGCCAGGAAAGCTCGGGTCTCTCATATTATGGCAGGAGGCAGAAGGCAGGGGCAAGAGGACCTACACCACTTGTCTTCTCCAACGCCCAGCACAAAGAGAAAGAATAGGCACTCTCCTTCTCTGAAGTTCTCGCCCCCCCCCCCAGTTTGTGCTGTGTTTTTAAGAAAGCAGGAGTGATGCAAGTCACTCTTGTTGCTTCTGCAAAAACCCAGCCAACATTTGTTGTGTCACCGCTGTATTCTGCCCGGTTGGCACTGACCCTTAAAAGGACTTTCTCATTGGTGGTTTCCCATTTGTGGTGAGCTGCACCCCTCACTGTTAACATTCAGGGCAAATTTAAAAACATTCTTTTTCACCCAGGCATTTGGTGGCTGAAATGGACACTGTTCCTGGTAACTTTGAGATTATAAATTGTCAGAATGTACAACATGTTGTTAAAAGTTTTAAAAATGGTTTTATTGTGCTGTTTGCTGTTTTGCAGGTGTCCGTCCCCCCAGATTCCTTTGGGAGTAAGAGTGATCCAGCAGTACAACAATAGTCACCCCTCCCAATGCACATGCCAAAACACTTGACAGGGGGATCATGCCTGACAATGTGGGAAATGAACACAGACACACATCCTAAAGACAGTATTCCCTTTAATAGGTAGAGGGTAGGGTAACTTTGTTCCTGGGCATCCATGGGACACTGCAGAAGGTGTGGAGAGGCTTGTGAAAACAGCTATCAACAGCTTAAAAACACACGGCAACTAACCATACACGCATTCAGAGCTGTCAAGTAGAACAGTATCACATGTTCTCTCCCTCTCATATGCAAGAGACAGATGGCATTGCTGAAAAGTGCATCATATTTATTCTTAGAAGACACCTCAGTGGGTTTTTTGAGAAATAAAAAATAATCGTTCAATCTTCCAAGGTGATGAGGAAACAACCAGGCACCAGAGAAAAGCATTTTGTGAATGTAACTATTCAAATTCAAACTGCAAGATTTAATTGGATATGCACACATTTGATTAGAGGAAATACAACCTGGCATCAATGCAGCTGTGGGGAACACTTTTTCTTGCTTCGTTTTACTTTCATGAAGTAGTTCTTCTATGGTTATCGGGAGGTCCAGGGCATCTCGCATAATGGTTAATCCCTCCAATGTCTTTTTACCCATTGCTAAGGATTTTACATCCCAGGTATAGGTTTTTCCAAAGCGGTTGCAGATTTCTTGGAACACAATAGTATAAAGACGTTCAGTATCTGAGGAAATAAAACACACACAATATTAGTGGCATGATGTCAGAATGGGGCGTAATTACAAATTATGTTGCATTCTTGGAGGGAAAAGACAGCGCTCCTATTGGTGAACATGTTGGCAAGAATAAAAGACAATACAATAGGGTCTTGAACTCTTGGCCATAAGAAATTCATCTTGAACATCATGTAAGCCTTTTCTGACAGGCAAAACTAATAACTTCTGACTTAAGGTCACAGCCGGGCCACCCAAATCAGGGTGCCACATTACCTTTAACCTTAAATACATAGCAACAAGATTATAAATTCACATTCACACTGCTATAGAAGGCAAACCCTCATATTTTCAAAACACACTATTGTGGGCTGCAATGCACCATTACGTGTTTAGAACATATTTGTGGGAGAAAAGGAATGCCTTAATTGGGAGGTAATCTTTATCTTGGAACTGAAGATAACAAACAAAGAAGGAAATCCAGTACTCAAGGGATGTCATTACATATTCTATTTAAACTATAAAGTAATTTATTTTGCAAGCCTTTGAACAGGACTTTAAAAGTTCTTCAAAAGATGCCACAATCTGCATTATATTGCCAGTGGCACTGTTACATTTACATCTGACTAGATTTCAATTACAACCCTATAACCTATAATCAAGGGGGTTTAGAGACTTCCGGGATAGCGCGAACGGGTAATGGCAGATTCTCTCCGAGCTTCGGAGGGAATCGGCTCCGTTGAGGACGGGTCTTGCCGTGCCGGCGACACGGGGACCCTTAAAAACCGCAGGCGCGGAAGCCTGCGGACTTGGTGACTCGGTGGGCACCCTAAGCGCCCTCCCCGACCCGCGAAGAGCCTTTTTAAAGGCTGCGGAGTGGACTGGGGAGCGGCGTGGTGCTGAGAGTCCATCGCTACCTCGGCGGAGCGAAGCCGCGAGCCATGACCGAAGAGCGCTATCTTTCTTCCTGAAATTGGACTGGAAAATGTAACCCGTGAGTAGAAGGAAATTTCGGCACTAAAAGATTTTATCCTTGAATTTAAGTACGATCGGGGGGACGTGTTAAAAAGGAAGTCCACACTCCCCCCCCCCACTAAAGGACTTAAAGCAAAGAGAGGACCACTAGGTCGGAAAAGACGCTGGTGTTTAAATAGATAACTTTCATAAATTGGATTAAGAAGTATTTGTGCTGGAGAGGAAGAGAGAGGAATTTCAGAGGTCTTTCTTTTCTGGTTGACCCCCCCCCCCCTAGACCCGGGAAGTGCCCTGTGTGTGAGCCCGAGAAAAAGAATAAGGAGTTTGACAGCTGTCAAAAGAGCTGTCAAACGGGAGACTAAAGATTGGAACTGTGTTAATAATATCTTTTTGGATTAAAAGTGTTACACTAAAAGTGAACTGATTGGAAACAAGGTGACTGTGAACAACAAAGTAACGGATTGTTGGAAAAGAACTGATGGAAACCCCCCTGGAGGGAACTAAAGACATTGCAATGGCTGCAGAAGGAAAAGTATGGGCAGAGATAGAAAGAATGTTTTGTCTTGTGGGAATTCTACAAGAGCACAGTACTCTTATGAGTGAACAATTGATGACCTTCAATCTTGAACTAAACAACTCTGTTGATGACACAAAGTGGATGGAAAAAAACTCTGCAGCTGCAGAAGAAAAGATAATTTTGGAGCTGGGGGAAAAAGAAGAAGAGAGAGGAGAGGAAACGCAAGTGGAAAAAACCAACCAAGAGCCTGCAACCTTTGGAAACAAAGGAAATAAAGAAGATGACCAGTGGATTACAAATCTGCAGAAGGAAAGAAAGATAAAGGAAGAAGCCCCTGGAATAACTCGAATATTGGATTATAAAAAAACAGACAACTATGATTGGGACTTCTTCTTTAGGTTGGAGTATGGGAGACTGATTGATCCTGGCCAGAAACTGCTCTTGGCTGATTTGGAAAGAGGGAAATACGAGGGGTGGGTGGCAGAACCCCCTCGAGAAGAGAAGGCTAACAAAATGGACTGCCAACAAAACTGGTGGAGAGAGACCAACTGGGGCTTAAGGGCCTCGGATGTGAGAAATCCGGGCTAAAACGGTTTCTTTTCTTTGAGGACATTGGTTTGGGAAGGGACGGAAACCGGGGAAGGGGGGAGGGGAGAGTAGAGTAGTGAAAATCTGAGATTTAGAATGGGAATATAATGATTTTTGGTTTAACATTTTAAGGAGGGAATTTGTGGGAGAGAATTTAGGCCGACTCTAGAGAAAGTATTTAATGTATAAAGCTGGATAAGTAAAATTGGGCCAAGAAAAAGCAATAAACTTTAAGAAAAGACAAGAATAACATTTAAGAGATGGGAGAAAATAATTTGCTGAGACAATTAATGAAATTGGAAAGTGGAAAGGGGGGTGTGGGGAAGTCAAGGAAAGAAGGGAATGAAAGTAAGTTTATGAAATTATACGTGTTTTGTTGTGTTTTTTATGTTTGTATGTCTATAAAAATGTGAAAACCCAATAAAAATTTTATAAAAAAAAAAAATATAATCAAGGGGGTTTAAGAGCAAGTAAGTTCTCTTCAGGCCACACTCATGCATATAAAGTTTCAGCCCAAGGAACCAACCTTCTCCTGAATTCATTAGTTTCGAAAAAGACAAGCAAACATAGCCATTATGGTACAGTTTTATTGCGGCTCTTAAAAGCAAAGTTGTTGAGCACTTGTCCCCCAGTCAGGTTAAGGGGTCTAATTTTTTTAATTTGAGGCCTACTACACAAAAATACAAAGGTAGGTTGACACCGCTGGTTCACATGATGAAGATTCATTGCTATCCATTAGTCAATCATCATGGCACATTTGGCCATAGCATTCTTGACTTCTTTTTAGCATTGCCTTAATGTACCAGTAAGGGTTCAATTATACCACTGCAGCTGGCAGTGGTCAGTTTCCAGTTCTTGAAATATGAAATGACATCACTGGATGCCAAAGGATCTCATTACCTTCAGCATCACCTTGAATGCTGACAATGTAGACCATTTCTTATACTTCCTTGGAGGAAAAAAATATAGTTTCCCCAAAAAGCATGTCCAACTAATCCATTAACAGTCATTCCATTTGGCTGCAGTAGAGCTGAAGACCATCTTCTATGAAGTGTCATTTGGCTCTTCCCCTTCTCAAACTGTCTCCCTCAATGGCCATATAACTTTAACAAGTATTAGTTCCTGAATTTGCTTGTCTTCCTGTTCCCTTCCCATCTTCCCCTCACCTCTGCTGTATTATAATCTATTTATCAAAAATCTATAATAAGCAACAACAACAAACAGTGGATGAGCACCACCTGTTTATTTCATGCGAGTTTCCAACTCCCAAGTGGCTCGCAACTCAACATTTCTAGATTCTGCATTCTTATCATGAACCTGACTTTAGCTGCAGTAATTTCATGTAGTAAGCATTTGAGGTCATTTCAGCAGGTCAGTTTGCTAGTGCCCAATGGAAGGGTGATCCATATACCTCACAGAAGCCATTACATCAGACTGTGATAGAGGAGTGAAAAGACAGAAGTGCAGGGCTACCATCAGCTCTGCCGAGAAGCTGTCATCTGGCAGCAGACATTACATCAGGCTGCAGCAGAGGGAGGAAGAGAAAGGATGCAGCCTCACTCTATCATCACAGCTGAAAAGCCAGCAACTCTTGAATCCTCTCCCTGAACTTTTCCAACTTTTGCGATCAGAATCATGGATTCCTCAAAAGCTCACAAAGTCTCAGTCAGCACTATTCCAGTGACTAGGCTTGAAAAGATGCCATGACTGATAGGCTGATGATGCATGCAACACACAAACAAACAAACTCATACCCTGTTCATTTGGCACTGCATGATGCTCTCAGCAAGCTTATGTGAAAAGGAATTGGCAACATAATTAAGATGCATATCGTTATTTTTAGTGCTGGAAAAGTTCTGCTTCTATCTTGGTTGCAGGGAATCACTGATCTACCAAGAGATTGAGGATGACTCCTTTCTATTCTTATACCCTTCAATAATATACCAAAATATTGTAGAAATAATGATCACACAGAAATGACAATAAAACCTAGATTTCATATTAAGTCTAGATGCAGGCCTATTCATAGAAGCAAAATTCCCATAATGAAAAGAAGAAGAAAAATCTCCTGAACCTGGGCTTGAAAATAGATGGGCTATAATTTTGGAAATTTGTTCAGAAGCATCTTCTGCTAGATTAAAACAATTACACCAGAGAGACCCAATAGGCACAATGATTAACACTAATTTCCTCAGTTGGGTTGTGTGATAAGTGTGATAAACTGTCTCCTGTGTAACAAGCATATCTGAATTCTGAATATTGTGTCTAAGTTCCTATAGCACATGCTACACATATATTGGGAGTGTAGTTTAAACAATTAAACTGGATGGAACCTCAAAACAATTAGCAACCTTTGAATGATGAGTCAAAATTCTCCAACAATATATTAAAAGACAGGTGCAAGCTACACATATTGCAGCACTTCTTCTTTTTTTTGATAAATCTCTTCTGAAATAAAAATAATAATGTGATTGCCAACAACTAAGGATTGCAACTAATTTAATCAAGCAATGATTTCAAATTAAGTTTTTTGATTACCACTTAACATAATTCAATGAAAGTATCTATAACTCATCCTAATGGGGAGCAGGTATTCTATTCTTTTAGGCTTTAGCTGCTGCAAACAAGTTTTTTGCCATATTATTCAAGACAGCATAAGTACTTGCTATAAATGGATGCTACTGTATGCACATTATGTTTACTGTTGGTTGGGTGTTAAAAAAAATGCTTGTAGCTTGCTTCTTGATTTATTAAAAATGTAATTCATTACTGCAAGTGTTTGGTTGTTCAAACAGTGTAGTATTGTCACCAACTGTTGTCCCAAGAAGGCTCAAGCAGAGAATTATTATTCTTATATAGTTAATCCTTAAAATATGAAGCAAAATCACACAAATTTGAAGCATACTCACACTAATTCATTTAACAATTTTT